ACACACACACACATACACGCTGGATTTGCTACCACATCTATTTATGACAACTGTACTTGTTATTAAAATTACATAATTTAAATGAATATATGTAATGTGAATGGAAAAAGAGTTGTTTCTATGAAAACTAAGCTGATTGCTTTAGAGTAACTGCACAAAAATAATTTGTGTATCAAAGTAGGTGTAGGAGGAATGAAAAAGAAAGTATAGAATTCAAAGATGACAATGCATTGAGGTTTCTTTTCAAGTGTCTCAGTTTTTGCTATATTTTTTCAAAAACTGGAAAATTATAGTTCATGCAAGATTATGGTTTGGTTTGTGCAGGAAAGAACATGTATGTCTCTAATCACTTGATCGTGCTTAGTTTTAGAATAAAAGATTGATATACAGTTGTACATTTATATGTCTTAGGTTAAAAAAATATCTAGGATATGCACATATTCTTTTTCAATGATTTTCCACTTAATAGTCTTTTATTGATTAAGTCAGATTAATTAATTTTTTTTTATTATGCCAGTGGGCCTGGTATCAGGTAAGACCCTCTATGCAATATACCCCTTTTAGAAACACTACATGGATAAAACACTATACAACATCACTTCTAGCACTTCAAAAACAACCTGTTTTACACCAATAAAATGAGATACCCTATGCTGAATTTTCTTCTGTACTGAAATTGTTAAAAATTCAGTGCATGTGTTACCAATAATTATTTTAAATGTCTCTTGAAACACTCATCTGAATTCTGTTCCATTTCTAAAAAGATGAGATACTTCTGTCTCAAATAATTCTCACTTGTGCAACACAGAAGTTTCATGAACTGTTCAAAGCCATTCATTCAAAATTATCTGATATTTCTTAAATTCTTCTGAAATGAAAAAGTATTAATATTGACAGTACTTTTTGACAAACATTTATAATATTAACTTGAAAATCAGAGCACCTCTTATATTGGCACTGTTTATTAAAATCCTTATCTTTGTTTTTCTCACTTACATCAAGTGAAAAGCTCTTGCCTATTTTTAGCAAGCCAAAACAACGATGCAAAAGCTGAGATGTCAAAATGTATGTAACAAAACTACAAATTTAGCAATGAAGTAAATGCTTTAAAAAATTCAAGATCTAAAGATACTCCAAAAATGTTCAAATAACTTTTGAATAATGAACAAATTTTTTCCATTACAAAGGTATTTATACTTCCAATTCACAAAATCTCTTAAATTTGTAAGCAATATCAATTAGTTAACAACTTCATAGCTGCTATGATGTTGAAAAAATACTTAACCTTTCTAGGCCTATTTCTTCTATTTAAAATTGGGTTAATACCTAACTTACATGGCATAAAAAACATCAAATGAGATACACATGCACACACATAATGCCAAGTAAATAGTTGAAGATATATACATTTGAAAATTCTGTTTAATATATATTCATATATACACATACACACATTTATATTTTTTTATATCTAAAGGCAAGTTTTTGCTTCTGGTTTGTGTTTGTTCATTCATTCATGGTACTGGGATTGATGGACCATGGTACTGTCTGTTTTTATTTTTGTTTGTGGTACCCAGGGGTACAAACCACTGAACTGCATCCCCAGCCTTTTTTTTAGACAGGGTCTCACTAAGTTGACCAAGTTGGCTTGAACTTGTGATCCTCCTGCCTCAGTCTCCCAAAAAACTGGGATTACAGGTATACACCATCACTCCAGGCCAAAGTCAGGTATTCTAACAATGAGGAAGGAGCAACAAAGGTACACGAATTCTCTGAAAATATGCAAAGCTTGGTGTACACAGGCTTACATGCCATTTCCTTAGGAAAGGGTCAACAGTTTTTCATCAGATTTTCAAAAGGCATCCATGACATCAGAAGGCATCCATGACTTCCAAAAGTTCGAAAGCCTACTTTATGGTAGACTTTAGCTTTATTTTCTCTATTCCCTGGATATATAAAGTTTATAAAGTTTGCCTGAAAACTCTAGAGTTTGTTAAATTTGAATTTACTCAGCAGCAACAAGGAAGTTGAATTAAAAGCATAGTCACGGGGGCCGGGGTTGTAGCTTAGCTGTAAAGCACTAGTCTAGCACGTGCAAGGCACTGGGTTCAATCCTCAGTACCACATAAAAATAAATAAATAAATAAATGTCCAACTACAACTAATAAGATATATATTTTAAAAAAAAAAAGCATAGTCATGATAAAAATGTTTTTCTTCTCTCTTTAGAAAAACTAAATTACTATAAATTTGTTTAGCTCAAATTATCATCCAACTTTGCCATAAATAAAATCAAAACCCAAACTTTAAAAACCTAGCAAAAAAAAAAAAATCAGTGAAACACACACACAAAATCAGAGAAACCTGAAATAGCCTTATTGCTTACATAACACAGTAACACTTGTTCCTTCATTGGAGTTAATTTTTGAAATTACTCATTCCCTCATTCTGACTCAAAGTCAACAGCCTTCACTTCAAACAGCTATGATGTTGTTTCAAACTTGTATAATAAGGAGATCATATGATGCCATAGAAGGGAACAAAACCAGGAATCACAGAAAGAAAGGTTATGGTGCTGTGCTAACTCTAAGGCAGGTGGAACTCAGCATCCTATTGTGCTGTGAGTTCTCCAGAAAAACATGGAAATCTCAAAGACACCTGCTTCCTTATGTTCTGCACTTTATTATTAAAATAGAAACTTAAAAAAAAAAGGACGTCACCTAGCAAAAGATTTTATTCTAGATCTAATGAGAAAATATACCAACAACAATAAATATTTGAATTACAGAAAATTCTGACCCCACTTTTAGCACTCTAAAGAAATACACACTCAGAGCAGTTCCACTGTAAGGCAGAGTCATTTAAAACTTCAGCTTACCATTTTAATAACACCAGATAACTCACTCTACCATGCTGCTCCTTTACTTAAGAAGTGTATGGCACTTTACAATTACTTAACAAAGTATAGACAGATAAAACAGAGGCAAGAGCAGTTTGGTATATCTTAAGATGTAAAATTTCATTTTTTAGTTCATTGGAAAATACTTGTTATGGAACGGGCAGCTTATTTTAAGCAGTTTTATTTCTAAACTGCCTTTTCCGAAACAAGTGCTTTTCAAAGGACTATTAAAATAGGGCTTTACATACGGATATCCCTATGCTAAGAGACAATCCTCCCCCTCTAAAAAAATAAACTATACAAATGTTAAGAATTTTTAACAAGTCTGCCAAATGCAACTCTTAGAATATATTTCTATAAGAGCTAAGCAATGTAAACAAAAGGCAAATTAGCATGGCAAGAGGTTTTCTGAAAGGCTGTGACTAATATTTCAGAATAGAAATGTGATAGTTATTAAAAGAAACATGAGAGTTTTCTAATTCCTAATAGGCCATTGTGCCCATTGTGAGAACTACTACAAATAGCATTCAGGGCTGAACTCACAGTTTGGTCTCTTAGGCCTAAATCATCTTTAGCAATTTTCCCCCATGTGGCCCATTATGTGAATCAAAGAACTCAGTAATTCATTTGATGAAGGTAGATATGGGACACAATTAGAGCCATGCATGCACTAAAATCAATAAAGAAGAAGCAAAAAAGAAACCAAGAAAAATTCTTGTTGAAAACAATGCCCCAGAATCCAGCAAATAGTTTGACTACATGAAAAAGTCCAGAATGAGCTGTCATGTCAATACTATGATTTCAGGACACATCCCAACATGTTCTTTCATGCTAACCAACATTCATCTAGCATATGATTAATATACCTTTATATACCACCCCAATATTCATGGAGGTTCTTCAAATGCTTTACCTCATAAACAGGATTTCCAAGCAACAGCTATTGAGACGAGCTGGAGACATTATCCCTGCCCATATTTCACATTTAATAAACCACAGCATGTCTTAGCAAGTTCAAATACAAACTACAAATATTTTCTGGCATATTTCAATTAGCTAGAAGGGATAAAAGATTAAACCCTGAAGTCCTATTTGTGCAAGCAGAATTTACAAATTATTTAAGAATTTACTTCTAAGTTCTTTCTATTGTCTTCAAAACACAGTGTTCCAACTAAAAAGAATATAAATAAACACAAATATTTTGAAGGCAATTTGGTATCTAATTTAAGGAATTTAGCCTATGAAATTTTTGAATACAAATATCAAAACATCCATTCACTACAGCATTTTTATAAAGGTGAAAAATCACACATGCTACCACCATATGGGCTACCACCCAAAAGAATGATCCAAACCTACAGGTATTATAATATTAAAGACCAAAATACTTTGTTCAGTGAAAAAAGCAAGCCATAGACCAAGTACAAAAGAAACATAATTATCACGTAAAGAAAACTCTGTGTGTGCGCACACACATACACCTTTGAATGAATGCATAGGAAATGGTCTGAAAGGATTCATCCCTACAGATAACAGAAGTTACACTCTGGGGAAGAAGAGTAGATCAACATGTGTAGGTTAGGATAGGTCAAAAAATCCAAGGAGGAAATTTCACTTTTTATTCCACATCCATTTGTATTATTTGGAGGGGGGAATATATATAATATTTTTTAAGAAAGAAAGATACAGTGTCAGTTTTTAGCTAAGTTGCAGAATTACTTAAAGAGAATGGCAAAACAGAGAAAAAAGACCACTGGCGGTCAAAAACATCCTTTCTAGACTTTACCCTTCAAAGGAATAAAGAAAAATTCTGGGTAGTATCAATCAGTAGTGATAAATGAATATGACCGAATTTTCATGAAAGAACAAGCAATACTCCAAATACTAAAGGATTTGTAACTCAAATATTTAAGAATACAAAAGATACTGAAATCACAAACATTATTAAAAAGATGCAATCATTCCAAATGTCCCTCAGAATTACAATCTAAACAACAAATCCTGCTACTTTGGTACAAAATATATACTGTGTGGGTATGCTTTTTTGATTTAAAAAACTGCATGTATAAAGAACTAAAAGATGTAAAGTGTTCACTCTTACCTGTACATTTTCTTCTGTAACCTGAATTTCTGCAGTGTAAACATAATCAATTAGCATCCTCAGGGTCCAGCCGTCCACCTCTTTTATCCGAACTCTCTTTGCTCGGCTCTCACTCATCTCACCTAAAACACGAAGAAGTAAAGTGATGGTAAAGCCAGACACTGCTATGGAAATATCAGTGCCAAGACAGACGGATCCACCTTCTTGCCACACTCTGTATTAGGAAAGCAACATGACCAGCCAATTTTGCTACCCTGAAACACTCCCCTAACTCTCCCAAAAGCTTACCTGAGGCAAATCACAAAATGTACTTCTGCTACCCACTTGTACCTGAAAAATCGAGTCACAACAATGAACATGTCATGTATCCAGTTGCATGAACTACAACACCTGTTGCTGTATTACCAGTATCTGATGCTATCCATGCTTTTAAACAGTGCATTTTATGAATTTCTAGACATTACTAGAAGAAGAATGTCATTTCCTTTGGCTAATGGCAATAAGCACTTGCTGAAAAGGACCCACTTGGTTAGTTCATTCATGCAGCAAACAGATGCCTGACAGGAGCCTATGAGACCTATACCAGAAACAGAGACTCAACCCTCAGTGGGAGATCAGAAGCCTTATGCAGGAAACAAGGAAAAAACAAATTACATAAGATGCTGAGATTAGTCAATGGCAAAAGCTTGTTACAGAGATCTTCCAGCCCACATTCAATTCCTGTTTGTTGTTTGCAGTAACCTCACCCTGAGGTCATTTCCATACCAGTACTTAATACCATACTCAGGTACCCTTTTGCCACACTGCCAGACAAAAAGTGGCACAAGACTTCCTCCTAATACCCACTGTAAAGAAATAAGGAATTAGAACAAGAGGCATAACAGAGAATGGATGAGCTCTAAGCAAAGGGGGTTTGAGGAAAATAGGAGTAGGTTTGAGGGTCTAAAGTGTAGACCTAAGATATAAGAAGACACAAGCAATTGGATGTGGAGGAAAGAAAATCTCAAATTTTCAAATCATAAACTAAAAAGGCAATCCAAGTATAATTCTGAGTGCCATGAAACACTCTCAGCAAAAAGATCTGCTTCTAGAATTTACTAGGTTTTAAAGTTAAAGAAGCTGGGTGTGGTGGTGCATGCCTCTAATCCCAGCCACTCAGCAGGAGGATCACAAGTTCAAAGCCAGTCTCAGCAATTTAACGAGGTCCTAAGCAACTTAGTGAGACCCTGTCTCAAATAAAGAATAAAAAGGGCTGGGGATGTGGCTCAGTAGTTAAGCACCCCTGTATTCCATCACTGGTATGTACGTATGTATAAATAAATGAATAAATGAATGAATGAATAAAGTTAAAGGCATAAAAAATGATGCCACCATTGATTTCCTTGACCTCAATCTATTTTTCTCCCACTAAAAAATTATAGTGACCTCAAGATTTCTTGAAAATTCATTTCTTTTTCAGATGTGGTGTGCTGTCAGTGATCATAAACGATTATCAGAAAAATCTATGGGACTTCATGATTACACAAAATTCTTTGCAAACACAAACCCTGGGAGGAAAGAAATAATAATCGTGATGTACATTTAACGGCATGCTTCCCCAGAGATTATCTGACAAGATCTCAGAAAGAAGCTATTCCTCTTAAAGCCAAAATATCTTGAAAACTACCCTGCTACTTCCCAGGGGGAAAACATTCATCTGTACTACAGGGAAGGGGGCTGTTAATGAGAAGGAACACATGGCCTATACAACAGGGAAAAAAAGAAACTGCAAATTCTTTTTCTTTCTCTTTAAAGAAAGAAGAGAATGGAGGAATATGGAAAAATAATTCATCTGTTTATATGGCACCTTCCTGTATTCTATATTTTGTGGACAGATGGGGTTTGCATAATCTGAAGTTAGGACACTATGGTGAGTCCCACTTGACTGTATACAGTAGGCTGTGTCTAACTACCTCATCTACAGGGCTCCTATGAGGTGCAACGTCCTGCAGGGCCTGCAGCATCTGAGCATAAAGCCATGTACCTAGTTCTGAGGCATGACTTAGCTTAGACAAAACAAAAGCTGACTTTAATTTACATACATGACTGAAAACACAGCCCCCTGCCAAACAATTTTTAATATTATGGATTTGGGGGTATTGGAGATTGAACCCAGAGATGCTCTACAACTGAGCCACATCCTCAACCACTTTTATTTTTTTGAGACAAGTTCTCACTAAGTTGTTGAGGCTGCCCTCAAACTGGCCATCCTCCTGCCTCAGCTTTCCAAGTCACTGGAATTACAAGCATGCACCACCATGTGCAATTTAATATTATCAACTTTAAGGTATAGCTATACTATGTACTTTGTTAGTTTGCATATTTCCTTATGTGTCATTTTTTAAATTATTTCCTCTGAAAATTTATCTGCTTCTAACAAATTCAATCTCAATTATATAGTGCTTTTAAAACTTCTTAATCTTTATTATTTCATATTAATTTAAAAAATAGAAATAAAAGCAAAAAGCTTGCCACCAACTGCATTAATAAATTAAAAATTCTAACAATTATGAATCAAAGCACATACTAAAAAGAATTGTAAAAGCTACTTATAACTAATTCTCATTGTCATTGTTACATAGTATCTTAGTTACTGCCCTTTGCTGTTTATAGAGGAAATCTTTAAATAGTATGTTTTTGTGAGATTTATATTTGATAATGCATTTTTAAAAAGCTAATGATAGTGCACAGTTTTTCCTGTACCATTTGTAACTTCTCACAGTCTCTCAACACATTAGTCTTTTGTTTATCTGTTTTGGTCATATATCTCCAAACCCATAATTAGATAACTCTGAAGATATACTGAGATATCCACAGGGATACTTATGCTAGAAACCTGAGTAAGATTCATCTTTGACTCTCCTCTCTTCCTTACCTCCCAGTCCCATCAATCACCAAAGCCTGCAGAATTAGCCTCAGATGGATATGAAACCAGTTCCCCCACCTTCTCTCCATCCCTTCTACCACTGTGCCATTGGGGTCCTATCACCTCTTGCAACAGTACCACTCCCATTTCTTTTCCTGCTTCTTAGGCTAACTCCACAAATCTGACCACAACTCAAAATCCTTCAACTTTTCACAATTCAAGCACACCAACCCCTTCCATATCCAGCCTGATTCATTATCTAACCCTGTCTCTCCCCATTTAGACTTAATACACGAATAAAGAACTGCTTGTAGTTTTCTACACATACCAAGCAATTTCTCACCTTTGTTGAGCTTTTTCCTGTGGCTCTCCTGCCATGTCCCCTCCCCCAGGTTAATCCCTACACACTCTTTAAGATTTAGGTAGAACCTCTTCAGGTAGCTTTATCTGGGGGTACCCCATGGATAGGTTAGGGCTTTATCCTAGATACAGTTGGGTTTCTCATGCAAATCCACTCTCTCAAAATCAACTCTTTACCTACTTTTCCACACCTGGGTTTTTGAGCTTGCTATGACAGTGCTTGACATACAGTAACCAAATAAATATTAGTTGAATGAATGAGTAAATAGTTGAATGCAAAGTAAAATAAGTGCCAATTTAAAATGTAGCATCTTTCTAGGAATACAGCTCACTGGTAGAGCATTTACCCAGCATGTGTAAAACCCAAGATTTGGTCACCAGTACCACCAAAACAAAAGAAGAAAGCAGCAGAGTTACTTAACATAATTAGTAACACATGTTAGTATTAATCTTGAACATGGGTACTCCAGCTATAAAGGATTTAAGTGAACAAATATTTATTGAAAATCCACTCTACATTTCAAACTGAACTAAGCACTTCCACAAGCAAATACTGTGTCATCTATACATAAAAAATGAAGTACTCTGAATTGTAAAAGCTTAAAGACAGATGCTATATATAATATATAAATATATATAATAAGAGATATGCACAAAATATATACAAGTAAATAAATAAAAACATATATAATAAAAAGATAACATATTGTATTAATGTGTAATATATACAATATATATGATATATATCTTCAGGACACTGAAACCCTGAACTGGTAACTTCATTTATCAATTCTGATAGGATAAATGGAAAGTGAATGAATAGGTTTAGGAGGACAAACCCTAAGATCTAATTCACTAAAAATAAATAAATAAATTAATTAATTCCGATTCCAATTTTTATTTTTGTTTACCAGTAAAAAGTACTGGGGGAAAAAACACAATATAGAAGCTTTGACTATTCTGAATCCCTAAGAAATTAGAGACAAATTGATAACTATATTTAATAAATAAATTTTCTTCCATTGTTTTCCACTTGTCATTTAACCATTATTGCCCTTTTGTTCTTTGTGGTCTTGGGTTACAAAGAAGCTACTGGCACACAGGTAATTTCAGTTGCCAAGGTGGCCCCAAAGCCCCAGAACTCTCTATGGTGGTCATGCTACACAAACTCTACAAATGATCTAAGGCCAACATGGTAACCACATTCCCCAGTCAATTCTGTTTAGTTTGGAGAGTTTCTGGAAAGGTTTCCTAGCTCTTCAAAAGAGAGGGGGAAAAAATACTCCTTCTGCTTCAAAATGTTGGTATTTCACTTTTGTAAGCACATTACTACATTCAGAAGGAGAATCAACCTTAGGATAGTATCTCTGTTGAGGAAAGCAGGGTAGAGAGAAGGAAACAGGTTCCTAAGGAAATTATCAAGCGGCAGATCAAGTCAGGCCTGGTGCCCAGCAACTTTCTTACTAAACCCTTTTGAGTGGTATTTTCTATTGCAGCCTGAAGCATTCTCAACTATGCTCTTTATGTACAATGTCCTATTTAATTTTTTTCACAGCCATCATCGCTATCAGAAGTTATCTTTTCTATACAAGTTTACTGACTTTCTAACCTTTCCTCCTCTCCCTGGGTAGAACAGTGAGAACAGGGATTTGTCTGCTTTGTTAATCTCTATGATCCCCAAAGCCTAGGAAAATGTCTAGCACATGGAAGAGGCTCAATAAATACTTCTTGATGAACAAAAGCAGAAATGTTAGACAAACATGACTACACATACAACTTTTAAAAACTGCATTTCTTAATCATTCAAATAATCATGTCTTTTCCGATTCTAATTTATCTTACTGAATCATGTTCATT